ATGCTTTGAAGGTCAAATACTATGTAGCACACAGATTGGATAGAGATGATGGAAAAGGAGATATTGCTATCCTCTCGTTTTTATTCTCATCGGTGACTTCACCGATGAGTTAGCTATCTTTGTTTAGTGAATGGAAAATGACAATTACGGCCATAGAATGATGGATCCATCGGAAAAATTTGATGAGAATAAAAACGCATGGTATCTTGATCAAAGAAGGCATACCCCACACTAAAGGTGACATGAATAATAACTTTAACCAAAGATGCCAAGTCATGGGTATCAAAATTAAAGAAGTGACTATTGTCACGGCGTACTCCCTGCCAGATGTCATACTTTCCCCAAACAATATCCACAATGCCTTTGGAGGAATACAAGGTCCATTCATTATCATGGGGGATCTTAAATGCACAATATAGCCTTTGGGGTTCACAGATTAATAATGATAATGGCAACCCCACCGAACCAAAATAAAAGTTGTCTGGACATAACAATCGTATCGCAGGACCTGGGAACAAGCTGTAACTGGTGTGTTTCCAACCAGAGTGGTTTCAGTGACTATCTCTCGACTGTATGCTGCATTAGAAAACAACTGATAGGTCAAAAACAGGACAGGAAAGGAAGCCATTAAGGAAATGAAAAACGGATAAAGCAGACTGCGATAAATATGGCAGGATCTTTGAGAAGGATAGGGAAGATCCTATCAGGCATTTACCGATAAAATCCATCAGGCAGCGGAAGAAGCTATCCCAAGAGTCTCAGGGTCAAGAAAAAACAAATTTACTCCGAAGCCAATTTGGTAGGATGAAGATTATAACAGAATAACAGTTGAAAGACAAGAGGCGACGAGAATGTATTTGAGATGCAAAGAAAATTTTCTAAAATACAAAGCAACTTGCTGCCAGAATAAGACGAATCCTGAAGCAAAAAAGGAAAGATGGCTTTAGAAAGTTTACAGAAACACTCAGTAGAGAATCAGCAATCGAGTATGTCTGGAGGTTAGATAAGAAATTTTCAACAGTATAGTGAATGAAGTCAAATACACAGATAGGACAGATTGGGTGACAGACCTACTGAATACGCTAGCCCCTCCCTTTGTCAGCGGCAATTCAGAGGTATTGGTGAATCGGATTAAAGATGAGTGCATTGAATTAGGTATAGAGGAGCTTGATATTGTCTTTCAAAGAAAAAAGGAGACAGTGCCAGAAGACGGAATTACTTACTCTATGTTGTCAAGACTACCTACCGCTTTTTATAAAAACTACCTTGTTGCAACTTTTTAATAGAAACCTTAGACAGAAAATAGGTATACCGCAGGCCTGGAGAAACCAAATTGTCATCCCGCTTAAAAAACCCAAGAAAGACTCCGAATACTTTAAAGCATACAAACAAATAGCTTTGACATCGTGCCTTGGTAAAAAAATAGAAAGCATGGTTAAGACGCGTTTAGAACATTTCTTGGAGAAAACAAATTATTTTAATGTAGTCCAATTCTAATTCAATTTACACAGCATTTACCAATAATGAAGTGGTAGTTTGTGCTTTCATAGACATTCGGGCTGCTTATGATAATGTATCATTAGAAATTCTTAGAGAGAAGTTGAAAGAAGCAGGGGTTAATGAATGGATTATAGAGTATATTGTATTCAGATAGAAATATAACTATAAGAGAACCGTTCTATGGAAACCTAATAGGTCCATAATGTGCTTTTTGTGGGGGATCGCCTCTGAGTCCTTTGTTATTCAACATGTACACCAATCAAATTCAGGAAGTCGTGGCTGGCAAGGCTTGTGCATTGCAATACTCCGATTACATTATATTGTTTGCAGCTGGTAAAAAGGTGGAAGAAGGTGGTGCAGGTTGCTTTGAACAGATTGACAGGATGGCTAAGGGGCTATAACATGGATATTTCAACAGTAAAAACTAAATCTATGTTGTTTTCTAAGGGTAGCAGAAATAATCCAATAACAAATATAAGGATGTTAAATAGAGAAATTGAGTGAGTTGAAAATTATAAGTACTTGGGAGTCATATTGGACAGGAAGTTGAAGTGGAACGAACACATTGAATATGTGATTAACAAGGCGCAGAATGAAATTAACATAATGAGAGCAATAACAAGAAACTGGTGGGGCGCTGACCCAAATATATTGTTAAATATTTATAAAGGGCTGGCTAGAACCCATTTTGATTATGGCTTTCAGCAAGATGAATTCTAGCAAAATGGATCGCATTCAGTACTAAGCCTTGAGAGTGGTGACTGGCTGCATGAAGAGCAGGCTGACAGACAAAAAACTAGCCCCTTTTGCAGAATCAGAACTACACATTGCCTCAGACCTAAACACAATCACAAACTTGGCATGCAGGACAGCGATTATTGTGAATGTGATGAAGTGGGGGATATCAATCATGAACTGATGTGAACTGAACAAAGGTCCTACAGATTGGTTGTATTCAAGACTGAACAAGATGGTAGGAGAACCGATACAGATGAAAGAAATTCTTGCAAATCCAACCAGCAGAGAACTAGAGACGGTTATAGATTGTATCAAGAAGTTTGATGTAAGAATCTGAAAATAAGCAGTAGTTCATGGTTACAGTTGTATTGTAGAGTGGTGCTATTTAGTGTGCTGCATGATTTAGAATACTATAAGGTGCTAATGCTTATAAAATGTGATTGGCTGTTATATGTTCATTTTTTCAGGCACATATCCTAAATATTCCTATTTCTCTGGCGTTTCCTAATTCCCCGCTGTACCACGCCAAAGCAAACAAATACCTACTCATTCCCAATTGAAACTTAAACTATTGGACACAAGTGATAGGATTCTGGCTGACTGTTGTTTGACGATATGGGGCCATTGGTAAACAGGAAGAAGAAGAAGAAAGAAGATCTTTCACATCACGCGGTCTTTTCCCAATAGCGTCAAGGATTTTGAATCAAAAGCTTTGAATATAAATTCAAAACGTTTATATTAGAAATGCTTAATTTCCGCGACTTTGAAATAAGAGCTTTCGATTTTGTCTGCAGTGAAAAACATCCAAGAGAAAATCGTTTTTATTTCAAGAGAGCCATTTCTCTTGTCTCAAGATAAATTATCTTGATTCAAATAACATTCACTTGAAGCAAAATATTTTCTCTTGCCTACAGGAAGTGATGATCTGCCCCCTCGTTGCATTTTATGCCCGTGTGAACCGGGACCCAAACAAAAGTGACCATGTTGAGCCCACTGAGTAGTTCTAGGGTTGCCATGTATCAGTCAAGTGTTGACCTTATCTGAGTAAAAGGCTCGAAGTGCTACCTGACTGTCGCTGCATATATAAATATGCTTGCCTGAGTAACTTCTCTGGGTTCTTATTCTTGAAACAGGATAGCAGCGCTCCCAGAAGAACGAGTGTTCCGTCTTTGTTAGGTACTCATATGATCATTTGCATATCATTGAGAAGGACGAAACACTCGTTCTCCTTCCCCTTCTTTGCACTTCCAATCGAGCTTGTAATGATTCTGCCTTCCAGCATAACACAGATCCATTTGAGAATCGTGTTCTCTATGCCAAAGCTTTCTGCAGAATTCTTTATCGAGTTGAAAGAGGTGTTATTTAATGACCTATCGATGTCTAGAAATACCCCCAGAGCCATCTCTTTGTGAGACATCCCTCGTACTTACTTGAGTACTACTTACCTACACATTTTTGAGTGATTACTATTTAAATTTTCTAAAACAATTAATTTATCATATTTATAGATTCCATAATGCTTTTAATCCGACATATTTATTGTATTCAGTCTTTCCTTGTTAAAGTTGATTGATCTTAGAAAAGCGTTGCCCGCATACCCATACCGGTCATTCAATAAATCATCTATCACGGAAGAACGTACATATTTCTTTTTATTGCCAATACCAAACTAGGTTTCAACATGACGCCCCTCACTTAGTTTAAATATTTAAAATATAATCTAATATGGCAATCACATTTAACCCAGATTATTATATTTCTTAATGATCTAATATATACCTCTACAATATAGTTCGTGATTAATGAGCTTATCTTGAAGAAATTATTCAAATTTGAAACTTTCTTCAAATAAAGAAGCGAATGTTCGGTCGGTGTGTTCTCTAGTTTTTTATTCTATAGACCGTAATTCATCATCATTTCAGCCCCTAATTTTTATATATGGTTATAGTTATGTTCAGAAAAAGAATCATAAAGCAAACTTAATTACCAGGTATCTTCGCAAGAACAAATATTAAAAAAACAATGCATTATTATTAGAGAAAGGATGCAAAGAGAACGCACAATTCGTAAAATAACTTATTTCCTTAGGCGCATACATACAGTTAATATCTGAATATCGTGTCTTCATTTCTTCTACCTTTTACTATATTTTTTGTTTTTTTTTGAGAAACTCCTATAATGAATAAATATATTACGTCATTCTAATACTATCACTATTCTAAATTGCAGAAATCGTATTAGGTTAGTTATGCAAAAGTTAATAAATGATGATGGCTTCTAGATAAAGTTAAACTGCCATTAATTATTTTGTTACATATTTTGGCCAATTTTAATTAATTATATATTTTATTTGCAATCATATATGTAATCTTGTCATTACTGACTTTTTAAAAATTTGGAAGTGACACTTTACCTGTGTCACTTCCCTCTTCGATTTCCCTCATTCTAATTTATTTACCTTTGCTGGCAACAATGAGAACATGTCAGGTAAAAACGTCAAAACAGTGAATGACACATTTTGGCATGTTTGTTTTATTTTTTTAATATTAAAGAAATTTAATGACTAATCATAATTAATGGTGTGCTTGCAAATAAAATAGTATACAAACTTCGGAGGAAAGTTTTCATTTCTGTCTCGAGATTAATAAGACTATATAAATCTCTCGACAGTAATGAAATACTTCCTTACTCGGTATGTAATATACTATTGTCATTACGTATACTAATTGTCAAGCCGATCTAATTTTTTTTTTTTTTTTCAGAACCAGCGAATTAGTAGCCCTAATAGCAATTTCCAGCACATTTTTCCTATTTTTACATACTAGAGACTTAAACACAAAATTACGTGAAATGGAAGTACGATTACAACCAGAAGATATTCTTACATCAAACCAATTAATGTCAGGTAAAAGGCAAAACAAATATTTTATCAAAAACCTCACGTATTTTTTTGCAATTGCAGGCAACAGTGCACCAGCAGAAAATGGAGGAGTCAAAGCCATGATGAAGTTACTGCAAAGCACAGGCGAAGTAAGTTTAAATCTTCATATTTATTCAACTTCAATATAATCCTATCTGTATAGATGTCATCGTTGGAGCCCAACCAACTAAACAACACAAGAAAAGCCCAGCAAGACGTAGTATTCTTCAATCGGGTACCAAAAGTAGGATCTCAGACTTTGATGGAACTTTTGCGAAGACTGAGCATAAGAAATGACTTTGGATTTCATCAGGATCGAGTGCAACGAGTGGAAACTATAAGACTTGCTCCTGAAGATCAAGCTGCGTTATCAGCACTGGTTTCAAGCTACGAACCACCGAGTGTGTACATTAAGCATGTGTGTTTTACTAATGTGTCATCGTAAGTAAAAAAAAGATAAGTAGAAGATTCTATTTCTAATTTTAATTTTTTCAGGTTTGGCTTGCCAGAACCCATCTACATTAACCTAGTTAGAGATCCAATTGAAAGGGTGATTTCATGGTACTATTACGTCAGAGCGCCATGGTACTATGTGGAGAGGAAAATCGCTTTTCCAGATCTGCCTTTGCCAGATCCAAAGTGGTTGAAAAAGGTAGGTAACTACATATGTGTTTTTTAAAAATTTTATAGAGTATACAAGCTCGGAAATTCCTGGATTCAGTTTACGCGCTACTTGTTCAGTTAAATTCTGATCAGTAGATGATTTGTTTTTTTCCAGTAGCTTTCCTAATTTTCTGGTATATGTTCTTAAGGCCCTTTTTCTTAAACTGACTTCGAATATGAGTAGATAATATGTGCTGCTTTTTCGACAGCTTGTTCATATGATTATTCAAGTATTTTTCTTTAAATTTTTTCATCAAGAGCAGATAATGAGTAGGTTTTTTTTCAACAGCCTAATTCTTTTGAAGGTTCTGTTATTGGTTTATATAGCCCTCGGGAGTAGATTATGGGTCGAGCTGCTTGTTCAGCATCTTCTTCATGAGCTTCTGGTGATGTTTCGTCAAGTTTTCCTCTTTCAATTTGTCTTTCAAGAGTAGACATTCAGTAGGCTAGGCTGCTCTTTCAACAGCTTCTTCCAAAACTTTTTTTTGCTTCAAATTAATTCTCAGGAATAGATAATGGGTTGGATACTTTTTCAAGAGCTTCTTCTTATGCTTATTGTATTGATTTTTGGGGTAATGGGTTGGCTACTTGTTCAACATCTTCTAGTCATGGTTTTTCAAGTTTCCCTTTTTCAATTTGTCCCTTAGACGTAGACCAATACGCTGCTTCTTCAACAACTTGTTTTGAAACTTCTGCCTCTTTGCTCTTCAAATAAATTCTCAGGGTGGGTTACTTTTTTGAGAACTTCTTCTTATGCTTCTTATACCTATTGATTTTTGAGACTTTTTCTCCTTGTTTGGATACTCAGACAATGAATATAGTGGGTTGCCTACCTGTTCAGCAACGTCGTCTTGAGCTTCTAATGATGGTTCTGCAAGCTTTTCCCTTCCAATTTATCCCTTGAAAAAGTAAGTAATGAGTAAGCTGCTTCTTCAACTGCTTTTTATGAAACTTCTTTGTTGTGTTGTGTTTCTTCCTTCCCTTGTGTTTGTGGTTCTTGAAGCTCTTTTCTAAATCGGCTCCTGAAGAATGAGTATACCCATAACGGAAACTCAGGTTTCCTTGATTTGCTTTTAAGAATAACTTTAGAAGCCCTTTACAGTTGAATTAAAAATCGATAGAAGTTCTCTCGAAAATTCCGTGTAAAGTATCCTCAAGAAAATAAATAATAAATCTGTACCAGATCTTGATGTTCTTTTCTAAATCGTCTCTTCAGATGGTCAGAGGCAGGGTTGCCAGACGTCCCACCTTAGGAGGGACAGTCCCGCATTTTGTTAATCGGTCCCGCTTTTCACGTGAATTGTACCGGTTTTCCCGCTTTTTCCACCCAATCTTCACATTTAGTGCAAAAAAAAACGCTTGTTACATAAATAGCAATTTCTACATTTAAAATCGACGCAAAAATCACCTAACGAGCCTGAATCGCAAACATTTCGTCGAGGTCTGCGGATGACGTCACCAATATTAGCTCCTGACGTAGTGACGTCACTCGCAGACCTTGTGGACTCGAGAACCGGCGAATGAATGCCTTCTCAGGATGAGCAATCCTGTTAGTTTACGATTCTTGGGTTTTATTAATAAATATTGTATGTTGTGTAGGTATAAAAATGTCAAAAATTCCAACAAAATCCAAATCTCATTGCACAAACAAACTAGCATCTGCAAAAACTTTTTTTCTGGTCGCTGAAAAATAGACAACTTTCGTCAAAAATAATTTTTTCTATGACCGTTAGAAAATAAACAACTTCGTCATATTTCACCTTAGCCGAAAACTTCACTTTCGTCACTAGTGATAAAATATCTAGTGACGAAAGTGAATGATTAGGATTTTACATGTTAAAAACATTCTTTCAAATCCAATTATAATTTGATTTTGTGAAGCACAACGAAAGAACATAGTTTATCACAAAATTATTTAAATTGTGCTTTATATAATGTAATAAAAGCAGAACATACAGAGTGGCAAAAAAGTAGTGCAGTGCATACAACCTTTAGCTTTTTAGGACCTTTTTTTGATACAAAAAGTATATAGCGTATAAATAGTAATGTTTACTGTTGTTTTGTCGTGAAGCGTTTATTCTGTTATCTAATAAAGGAGATTTTTTTTTGGTCCACTTTTGGTTGAATTCTTAGCAAAATTTGGGCGTGGTTCCAAAAAAATTGTTGCGCTTTTGCTCAAGGGGGTCCATACTCCATAGGGAGGGGGACACATTGGGCACTACAGCCCCCCCCCCCCTTATGCTTTTGGGTGTGACACCCGAAAAAAATGTTCTCCCTCTGGATAAGAACAGTCCCGCTTTTTCATTTCATAGATCTGGCAACCCTGGTCAGAGGCCTATTCAATAGCTTCATCCAAAGCTATTTGTTCGTCAAGTTTTATGTCTTTAAGCTTCTACCTACTGTATCATTATTTTCATAAAGCACTAAAGCTTCTAATTACTAAAAAAAAAATTAAATTCAATTTGTTCATTTAAAATTACTTTCATTTTTCAATACTTATTTATTACTAATTTTCTCAACGCTGATAAAAATCTTCATTTTAATTATTATATTCTGCGTTTCATATGTTTTGTTCTTCATAATAATTAGGTATATTCTTATCTGCATTTAATAAATATTTAACTTTTCTCTTTTCAAAATCCGTAATTTTACTTTTATTTATTTTCAGTATCATTCAATTATCATTAATTTTTTAATTCATCACATTTCTGCAGTAATTACCTACAAGCTGAAACCCAACGAAGAAGGTAATTAAAATTTTAAATGTACAAAAATACAATATTCAAAATAACAAACGGAAGAGAATGTGAAGAGTGATTTTATTATTTATTACCAACAGGCGTAAAGATTGAACCCAAGATGATTTAGTGTATCACTTTTACTTTTGCCCATTATTTATTTAGATTGGAATTATGTAACTTTTTGGATCCATTACGAATCTGACACTATAAAGAAGATTTACTGACCATCCCATAAAATTCAAGTGATCGTTAAAAAGGGAAAGGCAATAGCACCTATAATTTTTTTGTTAATATAATCTAGATTATATAATACCTTATACTTATTCTAGGATTTTGAAGAATGTGTCCTTTCAAACGACAGGGAATGCAGATATATCAGAGGTGAAGTCCGAGAAGGTATTGGAGACCATCGAAGACAATCCATGTTCTTTTGCGGACATCATGTGGACTGTTTGCCGTTCAATACTGAAGGGGCCTTGGAAAGGGCGAAACGTGCCGTAGAAGAAAACTATGCTGTTGTAGGAGTTTTAGAGGAAATGAATACGACTTTGACAGTGTTGGAAAATTATGTTCCTAGGTTTTTTGATGGCGCCTCCGATGTCTATTGGAGTAAGATCTTTTTCTAATGAGTAATTTTATTATTAACATCCTTTTTTTGTAGATGAAATAAGTAGATTCAATCCAATAAACAAGAACAATTTCAAGCCGCCAGTGAGTGAGGAAGTCAAGGATATTGTAAGGAAAAATTTTACGAAAGAAATTGAGTTTTATGAGTTTTGTAAGCAACGATTACACAAACAATATGTTGCTTTGAAACTTAATAAGAATAAACCTTAGATTTTCTGTTAATAGTATGCATTTTTGGGCTGTGTGGTTTATAATAAGTGATTTCGGGGAAACAATTTCCTGCACAATTATTATAGACAATCACTATAGAAAGAGCAGCGAATAGGTTAAATTTGCCATTTACTTTCTCGAGAATAGTGACTTTGTCAAGTCTTTTTTATTTTGACAATAATGGACGAATATGTACATTTTTAAAATTTTTTCATGTAGAAGTCCTATTTTTTTAAAAATTATATTTGTGATGTTATGTTATTTCTCCAATGGAGATTTGATTAAGTATTTTTGAAATTGATTGCGGTTTGTTTAATAGTTGTTTATTTTTTTTGTAATATATATATTTTTGTACCTATGTAAGTGACTGTATTATTTATAGTTAATTTTACTTTACCATTACGCGTGATGAAAGGCAGAATCATTTCAAGCTCGATTGGAAGTACGAAAATCAGCTCAGCCAGAGGCTGCCTCCAGGGTCCTTATTCTTGAAACAGGAGAGAAGTGTTCCCAAGAGAACGAAAGTTCTGTCTTTTGCAATGATATTCAAATGATAATGTGACTAACAAAGACGGAACACTCGTTCTCCTGAGAATGCTGCTCCCGTGTTTCAAGAATAAGGACCCAGGGGGTGTACTTGCTGTGGTGCCTAGTGCTGGATTAGCTGCTCTGCACTCTGAACAAGGAAGGTATATATTTACACTTAAGGCTACGCGCACGATCTTGTCATTGTCGTGGCTGGTATGATACCAACCACCATCAAAGGGATCTTGCAAGAGCTGGTAACATGGTCAAAAGATGGTGTAATAATCACGCGCTCTCGATAAATCCGGAGTAACATTTACAAAGCGAAAAAACGTTGCAGGCCCACGTTCTTTGGATCGAGACTTGCTCCATCCGGATCGGTCAAATATCTAGGAGTCGGCATTGACTTCAGGTTTACCTAGAAATATCACGTCAGCAGGGTCGTCCAGAGGACCACTGATAGAAGTAGATGATCCATCGGTCGCACCTGAGTCTGTACTCCACATATTCTATTGGCTTTACACAGCAGTGATACGGCCAGCTTAGTTGGGTGGAACGCGCTTAGCAAATCCACCTACAGGGCAAAGCTGGACAAGCTCCAACTACTTGCCTGTGTTCTGTCAGTAGCCTTTGAGAGCTGCAGTTAACCTACCTTTTTTCGGTGTATCGTTCATATACACCAAGCATATTTTATTCTGTAGACCTGCTAATACCTATGTTATCCATAGCTCTTTGGAATGTAGCAGGAGTATTTTTTAATCCAAATGGCATTCGTTTAAACTCGTAATGACCATTTTCTACGTTGAAAGCTGTTTTTGATATTGAATCAGGGTGCATTTCAATTTGATGAAATCCAGAAGGTAGATCGAGTGTTGTAAAAGTAATTGCTTCTCCCTAGACTGTCAAGTATTTCGGAAGAAGAAGGTTCTTTCATGTTTATATAACTGGTCTTCCCTCGGAAGTGTACTTGAGTTTCTTATAAATGAAGTTGTAATGATTCTACTAACTAAAAAGTCTTTATGTTAAAGAACCCGCTAACAATACATGGTGGCAGCGCGGGTGTTTTCTAAGTGAAGCTTCGATGACTTTATATGAGTCTTGGCAAAATAAAAAATAAACTGTTACCTACTTTGAAATCACACAAGCATAAAAACTTCTCATCAGACTCTAAAGAGAATTCATTCGTACCAGCGTCGTCTGAAGGTGCTGGGCAAGTAGGTATATAATAACTTTAAAATAGTGACCCCAATAACTGTTAGTAGTTCACCAGAAAAATTTTATTTTTCCTAACCAGCTGCATGGCCAGCATGGCGGCAGAGATTAGAAAGATTTATGTCACTGTCAGGACAAATAGGCAAGTCCGAAAAAGAGAAAATAAATATTCTCACATATTATATGATGGGTGAAGAAGCCGAGGAAGTGATGGTACAATTTCAAAATATTCCTGGTACATACGATGAAGCTTCAAAAAGTTTCGAAAGCTACTTCATTCCCAGAAGGTTTAAGCTCAATTCCATGTATCCGAAACCTGGAGAATCCGTGGACTCTTTCATCGCAAATTAACATTCATTGGCTGAGTATTGTGATTATGGCAATCTTAGAGATGATCTTATCAGGGATAAAATCATAGTAGGCATGCTTGATTCTAAAACTTCGGAAAGGCTCCAACTAAAAGATAAATTGATCCTACAAGAGTGTGTGTTCACAGGCAAAACAAGCTGAACTGCAAGCCAATCAGAATAAGGAGTTGCAGGGCAACGAACGCCACATTGGAAGAGTGAAGGCAGAAAGGGACAACAGGATCATCAAATCCGTCTATCAAGTTGAGTGAGAAAGAAAAATCTTCCCATTCTACAAAGTGCAAATTTTGTGGCTTATACAACTAAACCATGTTAGGGATCAGTGCCCACTGCCCAGCTAATAAACCTACATGTAGACAATGCTAGAAGAAGGGTCATTGGGCAGTGGTCTGCCAAAAAATCAAGGTGAGATCCATCCAGTTGAATAATTTATCTGAGTTAAGGACTAAGTATAACAGTTTGGATATTGAGGATTCAGAAATTGTAGAGGACACCTTTTTAGGATCTATCACTATTAATCATAATCAAGTCAATTATGTCGATTCCAAGGAGTGGGTGGCTACAATTTCTGTATCAGAAATCAATAAAAAAATTAAATTTCCTAGTAGATACAGGTGCAGATATATCATGCATATGAATTAGTTAATTTTAGTTTGCATTAACAAATTAAATTGACTGATAGAATAGTGACTGGGCCGTCTGGGATTAAATTGAAGCTGCTAGAAATAATATCTGTTGTTTTAAATTTTCATGATCAGAGCTTTATGTCATTGATAAGCTGACTAAACCTATTTTAGGTAGAACCGCAATTAAAAAACTGAAAATTTTAAATTTATTCTCTAATCAGGTGGCCCCTATAAAACTTTATAAATCTGTAAAGAACCACATCATAATGAAATATGCTAAAATATTTAGTAGTGACGGTAACTTTAAAACCGAAATGCAGATCAAGGTAGTAGAAGGAGCTCAAACTTTCATTCAATCAGTTCCACAAATTATTCCCATCCCGCTTTTAAAGCCTCTAAGGAAAAAAATGGAAAGCTTATACAAACTCTAAAAATAACCGAACCTGTGGAAGTCCCTACTGATTGGGTCAGTCCAATCGTAACTGTTCAAAAGAATTCCAAAATACGTCTCGGTGTAGATTTTACACATTTAAATAAGGCAGTTTTACGTTCGCACTTTTCCATAGGTAAGGTGGAAACTGTTTTATCACAGGTCCAGGGCTCCAATTTTTTTTCTAAATTAGACACTAATTCAGGTTTCTATCAAGTTAAACTTAGTAAAAAAACTCAACTTTCGACCACTTTCGTTACACCATTTAGGCGATTTTATTTCAAAAGGTTGCCCTTCGGTATCACTTGTGCTCCGGAAGATTTTTCCATGTTACTCAACAAAACGTTAGTTGGCTTGAAGGGAGTATACAAAGTGGCTTCGAAACCGTTCCTGGAACAGACCTTGATTATAACTTTCAGTTTTTGTCTATTCCAGGCGCTAGGCTCTCTGAAATAATTTCAAGGTTTTCAAATTGTTCAAAATCTCGCTGGAAAGTGTTCGAAATGGCTTATTGAAGTTCTAAAGCGTTCTAACTTGGCTTGAAGAGTTCTGGAGCATTTTAGAAGTTTTTCAGTAACTTCTAAATTGCTCTGACAGATTTTTAAGTATTTTAGAACCCTATTTAAGCTCGAAAATGTTCTAAATTGAGCAAATTAGAAAACCCATTAATGATGTGAATTCTCCCGCTTAAAACATAACACAAAACCTAAATTTATAAATAATGTTTGATTAGAAAATCAATTACCTACATATTTGAATTTTGTGCAAGTAAAAACATTTCAACAATGTTATAGTACTGCTTAGTACGGCCCTGACCACCCAGACGGGAATATTAGAATATTGAAAACACACAAATTATATCTTTTAAGATCTTCTTGATCCCAAATTGCAAATTCGAGTTGTTTACTTCAACTTAGCCCAACCCCTACCCCTCGTGTCTTAGAGGCTTGCCCCCCCTCATGATTTTTCAAAACTGCCCCGTGTGATACCTCATTTGAAAGGTTTTTCATCTATCTTTACAGGCATGACCATTTTATTCCAGCTACAATATAGAACACGATCACTTGACTCTTCATCTGGAAAACACAAAAACAATTTTTCCTCGCAAAGTTGAAGAGCATTCAGCCTCATTAGGCTGAATTCACTTGAAACCACGTTGTGCAGCTGACACCCAACAGCAAATCATAATTTAACCATTTCTCGCCGGTATTCGGTAGTGCCGGGCCCCACTGGTCCATTTTTTTCTTACTTCAGTGATGATTCATCAATTGGGTATATTAATATTGAGATAAATAAATCCTTCCATACTTGCTGAAATGCACAAAACACCAATTTCAGATTGTTTCGAAAATGTGATGAAAAACCTTTCGAGAATGATCATTATTCGAGGGACAAAAATTGCCAAAACTACTTAGTGCATTTACTTAGGTACCCACTGTATACTTATTATGCATCAGATAATGTATTGGTATTAATAGATATATAACTTTTCAATCGATCCAGACTGACCAAATATACGTCCAATTCAACGACGTCAAATGGACGCTTCATAGACGTCTTAATACAGGGTATTTTTTCTGAATGGGGTCATATTGGGTTTTACATGGTAACTTTTGAACCTGTTGGTTCATGTCCATGGTCAAATAAACGTCCACTACGTGACGTCCCAAACAAGTCATATTTTGCAACGTCTTTCGAAATTTGGTTATTCGTCGTAAATCTATTTAAAATCGACGTCATAACGACTAACCTTTGCTGCTTGGGATATTTGTTGGAATTGGAAAAAAGATCTGCTGGAAAACATCCTCCAGCGTTTTAAATGTTTGAATGGATTTGGATCAGTCGAGTTTTTCGCGGATCTGTTTTTGTATGAAAATTTTTTTCGCTTGCATTGTTCTCTATCTTAGGCCCAGTTTATTCATCTTGAAATAAACTTGCTGTTAACTATCTGCAAGATAAATTTACAGACCTATAATCCTGTAGGTCACTGGATAATTGGTTGACCAATGGGATTACATAATATTGCAATTTTATCTGTCAGATTGCATTAAAGTCTGTTTTTTTTTAGATAATTCCCCAAGTCAAAAATTTAGTAACTATGTTGGCAATACAAGCCTTTTTTATGTAAAAAATTAGAAAGCATTGACAATTTTACATTGTATTGCCAACATAATGTCATTTTGACTTTTATCTTTTAAAAAAAAGACTTTACCTAGTCCTGACAGCTTGCCTGACAGTTCATTAGAAAGTGAATAAACCGGCTCTTATATGTATTAGGAGGCCCTTGAAGAGCCGGGAATAGACAAAAATGTGAGAATTGGAAGGCAGACATTAAGGGAGTAGATAAGTAGACTTGAGTACCTATATGTTGTTTCTATTTCAGGCTCTTGAATTTTATTTATGTAGAGATATTTACAAGGAACAATTCAAGAGCCGAGAATAGATGGCAAAGATTGAGGCGTAAAAATTCAGAAATTTAGAGAAGAAATTTAAGGAAATTTTCTAAAAAGCAGAAGCATCTGTGAGAAGAAAACCATCATACGACTATTACACAGATTTAATGGGTTTGTCTAGGTATTCTCTGATATAAAGTAAAAGCTTAAGCTTTCGCGGATAGTTTAGAATGGAAAGATTACCTAAATGAACTTCCAGATAAGGATGAGATTGATCAATCCGCCGACAAACTGCGTGAACCAGAGATAAGGTCAATCCCTAGGGAATCCAGAGTCCTGAAAGCCAGGAAGGCACTAGGTCGCGATGCAGGTGAATTAGAAAAAGCCTAGAAAGGCTGTAATGACCTTTTCCCTTCTCGGACTGGAACGCTTCTCATAGAGTTGACATAATGCTATTACTTCCTATTTCAAACTTTTGAATCTTCTCTGTTTGGAGAAAAAAATTCAAGAGCCGAGAATAGAGAAACTTTTAGGCAGAAAAATTTGAAAATTTGGAAGCAGAAATTTAGGGAAAATTGAGTAGATAAGAAGACTTAAGTATCTTTCGAATTTTCACTGTTTGGAGACATTCCAGCTCATCACAATGACCAGTGTGTCGTCAGACAGGGCTGCACAAAGGGGGGGATAACACAATGGGCCATATACGCATCTACGTGCTGCCTCCTGTGAAGGCTCCCTTTTCAAATCAATCAATGGTGAATGAACAGTTTAGTTGAAGGAAATCACATAAATTGCAGGAGGCGGTTTATACTGAAAATTAAAATGTTCAGGAGGTATCTTTTTTGTGGAAATTAGCTTTCTGCTGTAATTTTTTGAGATAGCTGTTTGTATCCACAGAATTTTTGGTCTGTCACAATTATTTATACGCTACACCAAAAACTTCTTACAAATCCTATAAAAAAAGCAAATACTGAAAGATAAAAGATTTATTAATTTTTTTCACAAGGATATACATTTTTTTTTGATTTACAAACATGCCGCGTTCATGCAGGGCCCTATTTTTTACCTAATCAATTTTTTTTATATATAATTACACAACATCTCTATCCGCATTTTCCTGAATTCGTTTATTAAAATATTAGATTGAGCCTCTCATTGATACTAACATTTTCACAGCCTAATTTTAGAAACTACAGACATATTCTAATATATTGCAGAGTAAGTCTTTTTTGATTTTAAATTAAAAACACACAAAGATGTTTGAAAAAAATGTTATCTTACAATATTTATTTGATGTTTATTATTAATATTATTTATTGAGAAATTTGGAGAGTTGGTTAGGCTACAAACAAATATTTTATAATTTATTTACTTTCTGCAACAGATTATCTTTGGCACTTAATAAAACAAGGTTCAAAAAATAAACAAAAAGTTAGAGAAATGACAAAACAACAAATAGAATATTATTTAACAATCTTTTCAATAATTTCATTTATGTATCTTGTACCTATAAACAAATAACATGTGTGTCTTTTTTAAAATCCTATATAATTTATTTTTTGTTATCAAACAATTAAGAAAAAAAATGTCTAAAATTTAAAATAAATAAATAAATAAATATAAATACCTATGTATATAGTTTTTTAGCACCACACAAAATTGTGAATCAATATGTATAAAAAAATTCAACTGTTTGAAATTACATTTTTTTTTTCAAAGGAAAATGCTGAAAACTAGAATTACCTTAATAAACAGCAACGCTATCTAGAATATCTTCAACAAAATTTCATTCACAGGCCAGATTCTTTATTAACAGTTAAATTATATATGTATATGTGTATATCCCATCAAAACTAATAGAATTTTAACTGTTGATTGAAAAGCCAGCTCTTAAAAACTGATAAAATATGATCTTAGATAATACTAAGAAATTACAGTTTTGTTCTTTTATCACTAAAAAGGGTGGAAGGAAGGAAATAAATATAAAATTTAATAATAAAATAATTATTATAAAAAATTCACTAGTAATTTTGTATACATTAGTGAATTTCTATCGTAAAATAATAAAATATCCATTCATTTTACCCCTGACGAATATATTAATTTTCTGTATCATTATAAAAATACTATTTTGTAAAATATATTATTGGTTTTTGTAAAATATAAATAGGAAAACAAAGATTTTAAAACAAAAGGTAGGCTTAGTCTTCCTTGAGTTTCGTTTTGTAAATTATGGCTTAGGTCTTTCTTGATATTTCTATTTTATCATAAGTGCGTGGAAGTATTTCTAAGGCTTAAGTTTCTCATCTACGAGCTGACGCCTTTGGAAGCTGAAGGATCTCGTAATATTTCCAAATTTGAGTCCTTTTTAGAATGGACCTTCCTGAAAAAAATTAAATAATATTTTAAATATTGAATATAATAAACAAGAGGAGAAGAAATAGGACAACGACTGTTTAATACCTGCAACTTTTCAAAGATTTTGGCAAGCTCTATGACATAAATTCTTTATTTTATTAACATCTTTTCAAGACATTTTTATTTTGCTGCCTTAACGATGTTGGCCATTCCCAGCAATACTTTTTGGCAATATTTAAATGGCAAATGTAAATTGAAATAAATTATAATTAGAATCAAAGTAAACACTGGCTAATGCAATAATTGTTTTACTGGTTCCAAAGGTAAATAGTATAAAACACATTAGTAAATATTATTTTGCTATTTGTGGAGACGTGTATGTAGTAACTTATCTTATTGTATAATCACCTGAATATGTGCATTTAGGAAATTATCATAATGTTTTGTAGAAGGAATTGAGTTCCTAGAGCAGCAAGTTGTCCCTGTTTTATTGCAACACTAGTAAAATAGAACAAAACACATTGCATTTCAGTTAGGAAAATCGAGAAATTTCCTCTTTTTATTAATGCTGAGAGCCTTGCATCTCTAAAATTAGCTATTGGACATCCGTTCCAAGTCTATTTCGAATAACAATGCCACATACCATACCTACTGATACTAGAATGATATAAAATATATTGACAAACCTCTTTCCACCAAAGATCCGGTTTCCCACTTTTATTAAGAAGGTAAATCAATAATAATTGCTTGCAAAACATATTAGGAGGATATACAGGATACCTATAAACCAATGAATATTGCAAATAATTTCATAACTTAAGCATGTTAATTAAACATTAAGACATTCGTCTGCCACAAAAAGTCTTAGTCTTTTTCTGGAATTACGTTAATTTAATTAATGTAAAACCTATATAAACGAATCAGTTAAATGCAGATGGTGGGCAGACACAACTTAAAAATAAAACGCAACTTGACATTTATTGAGACAAACGGTTCTGGATTTACACTTGTGTCTTGCTTGCGTGAATCTCACTTGAAAATAAAATACACGTATAACAAGTTCGTTTAGATGCATAAAATGGCAATTACATTCGTTGCTGTTTGAAATGAAACCGAAAAAAAAAACTGTCTTCCATTGCAAATTGGTAGGATTTTAGTAAATTCTCTAAAATGCTAAAGTCTGAAAACAGAATCTTGCTCCTGGTTGGCTACAAGAATAACTCGGGAAAGTTACCTACCACATCACAACAAAAGTCTTCAATTCTCCATAACATTTCTCGTTTGATAAGAGTTTACACTCAAACATATCAACTTTTTTTACACACAACATTGCCATTTAGTGATTTAGATTTTGCTTACAAGATAAAGTTTGAAATGAAAACTTTTTGGAAGATTCTTCAATATTTTAATTGAAGCTGATGTTTCGATGGCAAGTTTGTATCTGATAAACATGCTACTTATTGTTCGTCGATTTTAATGTGGTACTCGGACGGAATGTGAGCTGGTGGCTCCCTACATTAGAACGCCAATGGTTACCTTATTTCACACCTGTTTTTGCCATATGAAACACCCCCTCGCTCCTCATACGGAAAGTGTCAGTTAAAAATCGACGAACAATACTAAGGTGCTGGGAGAATATTCATGCAAAACATAATTACATGGGCGATAGGGAGCTTAAAGACGTATATAAATCCCTAGGAAAGCTCGGTATCTTTCCAGCCCTTTTGCAAAAGGTTACAATATCCTAAAGGTAGGTACACCTTCAAATAATATTCAAATCTAACCTCAGTCTGGGTTACGTTCCACTAGCCTGGAATGATGCTAAGCAGAGATGATCTGGCGGTAATAAATCAAAGGCAAGGCATAATAACAGGCCGAATGCGAAGTGGCTTGAATGAAATGGTGGCTAGTTTTTACGATATCATGTATATGCTAGTTAGTACTTTTATTCCTATGAAGAGATATCGTACTTCTACCTTGGTTTAGTTCTGATCTTCGGAACTTGATTGTTACGGGCACAGAAAATTTAAAGAGACCAGTAGTCAAGTGGACTATATTTGCTACAGTCAACTCCGTTAGCTATAGGAAGAGAGGAAACTCATCTCGATAGAAATGACAAATGCCTTTTTGTCTGCGTCTGCAATACAGACAATTGCTTCTGCTATTAACATTAAAGATAAACCCAAATTTTCATTTTATGGGAATGATACTGAAGAACCATTAGCTTACATCTTAAAAATGGAATCAATCTTCAATAGAGACTAAACTCAGAGTTCTGACCAAGTTGATTTTGCTGCAGGCATACTCAAAGGACAAGCTGCACAATAGTTTCAACCTTATCGCCAACTTCCTCTCACTTGGGAAATGTTTAAGACTTATTTTATGCTAAGATTTAATACTTAGGTAGTACTGCCACTGTACTGTAAACAAGTTCTCTTTTACCGTCTTTTTCCAGATTCGTCTGAAGATCAATTGATCAACTTACTAGTAGAACAATTCCTGCCAAATATTTGTTCTAGAATTCGAGATTCGAGGTTCAATAATATACAACAGTTTTCACACACAGTTACAGCCATAGAGAATGATTTGAAAAAAGAAACAGATGCAAATAGAAAAATTATTAAAATTAATTCTACAAATGACAGAAATGCTGGATCGAAAGGACCACCTAGTGCTTGTAAATTTTGTGGTGATTGGCATTTTCATAATAAATGTTCACAAAATCCATATTTAGCTAGGAATGAAGGGAGAAATAACAGGTATTTTCAAAGAATTATTCAGCAGGGAAACCAATAGATTCTCCAAACATTCCTATATCAATAAATAATTTTCAAATTAATGCCCTTGCCGACACGGGAGCCAGCATTAACTTAGTTTCCTCTAAATTTTTCAAAGTCCTTCCAGCAGTAACAAAAAGAACAATTCATTTTGGATGTGGTCCTGTCGAAATTGAGATTCAAGGTTCTTTCAAAATTAAATATTTGCTTCTGGACATTATATTAGAGTCGAATTTTCTTGTATCTTATTTACCAGAAGACTGCATATTGGGTTTTCCTTGGTTTTTTTCTACAAGCTGTTTTGGATATTATTCGATCTTGTATACATATTGGTACAGGTATCAGACGTACTATTTACCTTTCTTCAACTTTTCAAAATCATCTCATACAAAGCGTTCCCGAATTTCATTTAAATCATTTAGATACAAAGCTTCAAAATAATTATCAGAAACTGCTAACAGAATTTTCTTATCTTTTTGATGAATCATGGAAACGACCAATAACACGAAGTATTCAACATGACATAAGACTAAATTCAAATAGAGTGGTAAAAACAAAACCATATTCCTCAAGTGAACATAAAAAACTTATTTTGAATGAACAAGTCAGTGAAATGTTGGCTACTGGTGTTATTGAACATTCTGTTTCACCCTATTCCTCATCTCCCGTAATAATCGAACGAATGGGAAAAAAGCCAAGATTCTGTGTTGATTACCGCAGATTGAATGAGATAACAGAAGACGAACATACTACCTGAAATTCATGAAACACTGAAGGAATTGGGATCTGCGTCAGTTTTTACATCATTGGATCTAAAAAGTGGATATTGGCAAGTGGGCTTATCAGAAAGGTCTAAACCTTCAGCAGCATTTTCAACATCAGATGGAGGGCATTATCAATTTACAGTACTGCCCTTTGGACTTAAAAATGCCCCTAGCAGTTTCCAAAAGCTTATGTCACAGGAAGTTCTGACAGGTTTTCTACATAAATTCACCTTGGTTTATCTTGATGACATAATTATTTATTCCAAAAATCACGAAGATCATAGAAAGCATTTAAGGTTAGTGCTAGAAAGACTAGTATCCACCTACTTCAATGTTCAATATAAAAATGTAAATTTGCTACAAATCAACTGGACTGTCTAGGACATACAATAAATGGTAGTCTATATGCCTCATACATATCATTTACAAGAAATTAACAAATTAACAAATATTTTCAAGTAGAATAAAAGAAGGAATAGATAATTTTGGTCTTCATAGGAATACAAATTTGAAATTTATAGAGTTTAATAATGAAGAACCTGAAGTAACTATAAATTTGACTACTTGTGGGGCCGATCAGCAGTCTGAGCGGGCTTTTTTATAGATAGGTTTAATAAACGATGCAGCAATGAAAGGCTGTCGCGGAGTAAGGGTAAGAATATTAAGAGTAAGGATACAGAATGTGATCTTCTGTATCTTAATTCAAGTAGTACAATTGCTAATTTTGATCAGATCCATGCCCTAGTTCTGGACTTGGAGCCTAAAATTATTTTTTTATCTGAAACACATTTGACTGAAGAAATTGAAGATGATGAAGTCAGTATAGATGGATATAGATTGGTGAGACTAGACAGTTCAAGCCGATCGACAGGTGGTGTACAAATTTATTTAAAGAACTTTATTAAAATATTATCAATAAGCAGAGTTAATTTTGAAAAGAAGTATTGGGTATTAGGAGTTAAGATAGAAGTTAGTAACAAAAACTTGTATGTAGTTTGTCTATATCGATCTCCGAGCTGTAGTGAGAAGGATTTATTGAATTTTTTTGAAGAATGGAGTCATGATTCTGTATGTGATAATAACATACCAACTGTAATACTGGGAGATTTTAATATTGACATGTTGAAGCCAGATAATACATATACGCAGCGTCTTACTAATATCTCACATGATATAGGATTCCAACAACAAATTAAGGAAATAACAAGGCCAAATAGAGACGGTGGTACATGTATTGATTTGTTGTTTACAAACTATCTGGATCTGATTCCTAAAGTAAAACATGCCCCCAGAGTGAGTGATCATTATTATGTATGTGTCAATGGTGCAATATTGCAATCACAGAATAAGATTCCACATTCTATTTCGACTAGAGGGAAAAATATAAATTATGATTTAATTAGGGAGAACCTAAAATTGGTTTATTGGCACTTTAATATAAATAATATAGATGATAAGTGTAAGTTCTTTGTGTCAACAGTTTATCGGGCCTTGAATACTATAGCACCATTAAAACAGGTTAAAATTTTACCACGATATAAACCATGGTGGAATGAAAATGTCAAAAAAGCAGCAGAACTAAGGGATAAAATTTATAAGATTTACAAATTGCTCAAGAGTGAAGATGCACATAGATCTTATAGAGATAAGCGAAATCAAGTAGTTAAAACTATCAAAGAAGAGAAAATAAAGTACTATGAGCAAAAAGTGGATGGATGTAAACGGGATCCTAGGGCAATGTGGAATGTATTGGGAGAGATTTTACCAAAGAAAAATCATGCAAACATTGATAAAATAGAGATGGAAGGAGAAATAATAATGGATAAAAACAGTCTGCCTGAAAGACTAAACAGATTTTATGTAGACAGCATAGATTCCATAATTGAACAAATTAAACCTGATTCAGGGAATATGGATACCTTGAGTGACTTCGCAAAAAATAATGCAGACTTTAGCTCGTTCAGATTAATAGATTCTGATTCCCTGTTTAAAATTGTTATGTCATTGAAAAACAAAAATAGTCCCGATGACTTGAATGTAACATTAATAAGGAATATATATCCGTCTCTTGAAGCACCCCTGATTAATTTAATAAATAGTTCACTGGAACAAGGAAAGTTTCCAGATCCTCTAAAGCTCGCTACAATAATACCAGTTCAAAAAAAACTTAACTCAATAGAAGCATCTAATTTTCGACCCATTAATACACTTCCTGTCATCGAGAAAATAATTGAAAAAGTTGTATATGATCAGCTTCTCGAATTTTTAAACACACAGAATACTATAACAGAGAAGCAGTCAGGCTTCAGAAATGGTCACAGCTGTGAAACTGCAATACAGTACATTCTGGATGAATTTAAAATAAAATATGACCAGGGTTTCAATGTACTAGCGGTTTTTCTGGACTTACAGAGAGCCTTTGAGACGGTCGATCGGCACAGATTACTTAAGAAACTAGAAAAAATTGGAATTGGGGATGTGGTGTTGAGATGGTTTGGAGACTATCTAACATCAAGAAGACAATTAACATGGAATTAGTTCAATAGAGATAGTTAACGAGCATGGTGTACCGCAGGGAAGTGTTTTCCACTATTGTTCATTATTTATATAAACGATCTGCCAGATGTAATACATGACATTGAATTGCATAACTTCGCCGATGATAGTCTATTCTACGCCTTTTCAAAAGATTTGGATTTGTTGGTGGAAACTGTTAATAATGCCCTAAATAAAATGGACAATTATGCATCAACGAATCTTTTGAAGATTAATGTTAGTAAAACTAAATTTATGTTTATTGGTACACATAATAACAGAAGTCTTTTTAATATGAACAACTATTCAATTGAAATGGGTAACAATAAGTTGGAAGAAGTTCAAAAGATTAAGTATCTTGGGGTAATTCTTGATAACAAATTAAAATTTAAAGATCACTGCAACATTCTGGTTTCTAAAATTAGTTTTAAGACAAATTATCTTAGGCGCTGTTCAGCATCTCTCTCAGCTTGGTCTAGAATTGTTGTTTTTAACACTATAGTTTTGCCACACTTCAATTATTGCGCAACAATACTTTATTTACTTAACCAGAATGATATCCAAAGACTGCAAAAGTTGCAAAATAGATGTATGAGAATCATACTCTCATGTAACAAATATACTCCTATAAAAAGTATGCTTAGATTGCTTCAGTGGCTTCCAGTTGTGGAATATGCAAAATATAATGTACTGGTGTTTATTTTTAAAATTAAAATTGGACTTGCTCCATTGTATCTTACAAGAAAAATAGTTTACAGTGGTCAGATGCATGATCACAACACTAGACAACAGAACAACTTCTATATACCACATAGATGTGGGGCATCAGCAACAAGATCGGTATTCTTTAAGGGTATGAATGAGTTTAATCAGCTACCGGATGAAATAAAGTCATGTGTTACTATTAGCAATTTCAAAAGAAAATTAAAAGTTCATCTGCTGACTCAATGTGATATATATGTTCCAGATTAAAGCACAAATGAGTAGCTTATTCTTGTTGATCTGAGTTTTGTTGATTTAAATTTCTTTTGTTTTGCGGTATCTTGATCTTGTATTTTGTGAAGTGGAAAACGAATGCCATATTTTGTATGAGTTTCAGGACTTGCTTTTTACGAAATTTCAAGATTTATTGTGTCTTTCGGAATGATTGTCATTTGTATTTTGAATTTAAATTTAAATTGTTTACTTTAATTGACACTATACACTAATTATAACTTTTGTGAATTTATATATGTAAGTTGCACGATTAGCTATTGCTAAATAAACGAAATAAATAAATAAATATCCTGTTCCTCGAAATAAAAAAAGAAATTCAATCATTTTTAGGTACAGTAAATTGGCTTAGAGAATATATTCCTGAATTGGCATAGATTACTGCTCCACTAACTGATCTTCTTTGTAAAACAGTAAATGGAAATGGAATGACCGTCAAAGATGTGCGTTTGAGAAAATAAATACTGTTTTCTTAAATCCACTTCAATTACATAGACCAGATTTTTCACTACCGTGTCTTTGATCATACTCAAGTGCTCGTCTAAATAAAGCAGAACGTAAGTATCATATAAATGAGAAAGAGTGCTTAGCCGTAGTGTGGGCGAATAAAAAATACCTAAGATCATATCTTGAAGATAGAAAATTCACACTTATAACTGATAATAGGTCATTACTATGGTTAAATCTTAATGCTGATGCTAAAGCGAAGAAACCACAGAAGAAGTAAATGACTTATCATGTTTATTTTCTCCAGAAATTACCAATTGTGACTTGATTTCACTTGATTGAAAGCTCAGTAGATAATTGTCTTATTAATTGTCCAGACAAATCATGGTGTGCTCAGGAAAGAACGACTCAAAAAAATTCGTGAATGTCAAGATATAAATCAGCGAGGTTATGTTGAAAATAAAGAACCGAGTCGAGTTTTGAAAAATGGCGACTTAGTAATTGCGCGACTACAAAAGGCATCAACCCATGAAACTTTTCATCCTGCTTGGAAGAGACCCCTCCACCGTGTTAGAAAAGGTTTCTAATACTATATATAATATAAAAAGACATTATGATATAGTCAAAATTCATATTGATGACCTTAGACCAATACCAGCAAAAGAAATATTGAGCTTCGAAAAACAAGATCGTGGTATTATGTCTGGATCATCTGAATAATCAGACACAGATACTGATGATTCAGGGTACTTGCATGGAAAATTAAATTGATTATTGTTTATTGCAAACTGTAGGAAATCGAAAAAAAATCGTTACTTTTTTTTTAAATTTCGTCCAAATATGATTATTCCGGAAGTTATTAAAATATTAAGTTTTGTATATATAGATATACTGAGCATGTACAACGTCACTAATTTATTAGATAAGTGACATCATAGGCAGATTTCATAGTGTTGTATCTCCGTCAATTTTTGACTAAGAAGAAAAAGAAAAAACACGTGTTGACTTATTTTTCATGGGCTATCGAAATCAGCAATTAAAAAAATTTGATGCAAGGAGCCTATTACATGGAGACAGAGTTGCGATTCAGTTGTCTACACACCGAATCATGACTCGTATGATAATATCCAAAATGCTTTGTATCAAAACATGGACGTAAATGATGCGCTATAAGATATTGATTTCAGACCATCAGAAACGACTTCTAATGTTGAAATGAGGCCTCGACCTAGAATCACAAGAAAAAGGGTACCTCCCAAACATCTACAAGATTACAACTGCTGGTTATGTATTTGTAAAAATACTTTGTCTATACTATTGTTTAGAGTTAGGTAGGTACTGGTAAGAAAAACCAATAATCTTATTTGTTTTTCAACCTTTCCTTCTAAGTTTTTCAATAAATCCGAACAGCACTTAACTGTGGGTAAATTTGGTCTGAGCGGTGGGGGTGTTAAGAACATTAGATAGGTAAGAAAAATACAAAAAAGGAGTTGGCAAAGCACGCTGAGAAACCTAAAAATCTTGGACACCAATTAGCAGCACACAAAACTAATTCAGGAAAAAAGTATAAGGACTTATTCCAAGCATGAACCAGACACAGCGATTCATAGATTTAAAAAAAAAATTACTAATATCAGTTACTCACTAATAAAAACTAGCACCCCAATCAGCATGTCCATGACTTATCACCACTGGTGTCGCAGTATTATTGGTAGCACCCGGTAGACATTGAAATACGTAGTTCTTGCCCCCATTATTGTCCCAATATTGGCACCCTTTGCACTGAAACCTGCAAGCCAGTTCGATTTTCTGTCCGACCGATAACGTGTGCGCGTAAATGGTAAACGAAAATCTGTCCGAAAACCCGTCACAAGAATTGTTGACGTATATAGCCTGGACGTCCGCAAAAGTTTTCCATGAGTCCAAAGTATATCGGATGTGTACTGACTTGTTGAAATCCAGGTTTTTCACTCTAACAGTGCCTTTAATTTTGAATAAAATTGGGTCTTCTACTAAGGCATTTTCGAGACATACTTGATTATCTCTAACTTTATCTAGGAAATTCGGTGATCCCGCTGGTTGTTCAAATAATGGCAATAGAAAGCGTTCTATTTTTAAACCATGGAACTTGAGACCGTTTGTTATATTACTCAAATCTGATGAGGATTCAGATAAATCAACGTCGCTTAGATCTGTGTAGGCTGATTTCGGAACTTTTGGAATTTCATCTAGGAAGGTTCTTACGTCTGCTAAATCTAAGCCTAAAACATCTGCAAATCGAACAATCTTCTTTCTCCCAGGAGTACCTGGTGGTGTTTTACCAGTTTTCAATGAAGAACACCTCCGGACTCTTGGAATATAATCATCATCATTATCATCATCATCATCATCAGCTTCAATATCATTATTTGAAATTATCCTTGATTCATTTTCTTTTTTGTCCTCATTAATAGCACATTCCACAACAAGTTCTGTTTGTATTGTTAATCTACTAATATATATGTCTTCGTTGATTTCATTTTCATTAGATTCCTCACCATTAACATATTCTTCGTTATTATCACTAATTTCAGTCTCTAATTTTTTATCATTTTCACATTCCTCACAAATGCTGTTAGAACTATCATCTCTAAGGCTCACAGTGGACATTTCATCGCTTACGCTTTGTTGCGGTGTGCAATCCTGTGACGTAGCAAAAATATCACTACCAGTCCCTTGCGAGTTTACATCTATTTCAGTTTCACTTTCAATGCTTTTGCTTGATGTTGAATGCGACATACCATTAGCATACGGTTGATTATTAGGAGGGTCGTCGTCTATATCGTAAAAAACTTCGTTGTCGCTGTCTCCAGAATAATGCCGTGTAAGCCCATTTAATTTAATCCCACTACTACTATTAACTTTAATAGGACAAAGACAACTATTGCCGACCTCCTTATTATTCAAAAGTTTACGTAATTCACTTTCTTCGATTTCATCCTGGGGGCTGCAAGGAGATTCGAGCATATCCAAAGCCAAGTACCGTTCGGTATCGGGATTGTGAAGGGGCTGTGAGAGGGCTATGTTGTTACTATCGTGAGAACCGAGCCAGCTTCTGTCTTCTGAGGTACTGTTTTGGGAACCCAACGAATGTAGGCGCGACTGAAGGTTGCGGGCGAAGGCTTCGGCACGGTCTCGGCAGGATATCGGAAGTAGGGAACTAAGGCCACATTTGTCGCGTTCGGCAGTCATTGTGGACGATCTGGAACAAAAAAAATTGATTGTGAGAATAAGTTTTATTACTAATTGTGCGGAAGATATCTACATTTGCATAGAAAGGAATTGATCATTATGGAGAAAAATTTTGTTAGGACTGGAGTGGAGCCAGACAGAATAAGGCGGTTACAGTATGAGTTCAAAATTTAATCAAATGACGATTTTTTATTCAAGTGTGCCTACATTTTCAAACTATGGCTTTCGCCCTTCTACAACGAAACCCTTCTGCTACATTTTCTATGCCCTTTACATCGATTTTTAAAATAACTTTACTGAGTTATTAAAATTTGATCGAAATTCCGTGGAAACGAATTATTGTTCGCTTGATGAAATCCTAGTTTAACATGAGATTGGGTCCTTTCTGATCTTGTTTATGGCTTTGTATGAGTGGAATTACTGCTGGATCCTTTTTCTGAACGCAGTCCCTTTGGCGGTGAACTTGTGCTAATTTTGGTCCTCTATCGTCCAATATCATGGGTTTTATTGATAACTTTGGGTGGCAGAATCGGTTGATTTTCCACAATGCTTTTTGGAGTTCTTGAAGATTCAATCCAGGACCTTTGATGGACATTCTCCGCTCACGTTATAAGTATAATTTGATTGCTCTACCTTCAAAATCTCTTCGTAAATGATTCTCTAACAAATTGAAAGCCTAATCAATCTTTATTTTCTCCTGTTATAAATTTGGTCTGCTATTACTTCTTTGATTTCAGTTTTTTCAGTTATAAGGATTTTTTATAAATTAAGATCAAATTGAACTCTTTAGGAAATTGTCCTGGTTAGTTCAGTACAAAGGTTTTATTTTTGTAATGTACGCTCTTAACACTTTATTGTAAACGTAACATAAGGCACCCTTTCAGTCATCATCCGATGGGTGACATGTTGAGTGGTGGGCAAATAATTAGACAAATATTGGCAGTCACATCTCTGGCAGTCTCTGTCACAGATTGTCTCTGTCAAAGATCCTCTATGGTAATTGATTGAGTTTAATGTTGTAAGCTTGGAGTTGCTTGTTCCTTTTGAATAAATTGAATCTTCAAGAATCAAGTCCAGTTTTTTAATGTTGTGTACCTAAATACACAATAGTTTGGCGACGAGGCAGGAGTCTGCTATAAGCACAGTGAAAGATGTGATTTGTGGGCTCCATAGATCATTTTAATGTGAGTCAAGGCGATTTCCAGTCTTATAGGGAGCTGATGAAGCAATTATTCAAGGTAAATAATACAAAGGACGAGGACAAAGGCCCTCTATCTATAACTTTGATCGGCCTAGACGTTTACAAGTTATTAAAATGTCTAATGCGGCCTGAAAGCCCTACGTGAAAATCCTTTATGGATATGTTGGATATTCTAGAAAAACATTTTACACCACAAGTATCAGTAATCGCTGAAATGTACAAGTTCAATAGCAGGAATCAGAAACCAGATGAGTCGGTGACTGATTATATTGTTCAATTGAAAACCTTGTCAGCTTCGTGTGAATATGGGAGCTTCCTTGACCAGGCTCTAAGACTGAAGACACAATGACAAATACAAGGTTGTACAAGTGACAAGAGACTAAAATATAATAACACGTGTATCAATACTATAACCCAGAATAAATGGATACAGGATACAATTTACTTGCCATGCCACGATACAAAATTTCGATTTTTTGGTATTTTGTATCTGTCTCTTGTACCTTGTATTTGTCATTGTGTCTTCAGCCTAAGACATCGTTTTGTTTGTGATTCGATGTGAGTCAGTAGTACAGAGATAATTGACGAAGGAACATTCATTAAAATTTGAATAAGCTTGTAAAGAGGCACTAAATTATGAAATGTCAACTATACAATCAAAATTAGTCTTTTCACAAAGTAGTTTACATCAAGTTGAGTCACAAAGCATGTCAGCGTCAGCAGTGGGAAAAAAGCAACCAAAGTTCAGTCAGCGTCCAAGTACAAGCCAGTCAAACAGTCAAAACTGTCCACAAAATAAGGTAAACTGGAATCAAAAAAATCAAGCACAAAGTGGTTGTTTTCGGTGTGGAAGACAGCACAATCCGGATACATGTCCTGCAAAAAAACTGGGAATGTTTTGTATGTAAACGCAAAGGTCACACATCCAGGAGCTGCAGACAGAGGTCCGGAGTAGTCAAATATGCTGAAGGTGAAGAAAATTCAGAGTCTGAAGAGGAATATGATGAGCAATGTTCTAATTTGAATCTCGAAGAATATGTGACAATAAATAGAATTTCAAGTGAATGTGTAGTCGTTCAGGTCAGACAAACAAAAACATTGAGATGGAAATCGACACAGGATCCAGTGTAAGTGTGATTTCTCAACAAGATTATGAAAAGTATTTTGGTCATTTAGCATTATCTACTAGCAATTTATCAATAAATACTGTGTCAGGGGATAAATTGTTAGTCAGGGGTCAAATTATTGTCAAAGTCAAGTCAAATAATGAAAATATTGATTTTTTACCACTGATTGCAGTCAAAACTGGTGAATCTTTTAAACCATTATTGGGTAGAAATTGGTTAGACAAGCTTAAGCCAGCTTGGAGGTCAATGCTTAATTTGAGTCAAAATGTCGAAAATTTTGGCTTAGAATCTAGTCACTAATATTAGTCTTGGTCGGTCAATTCCAATAAGTCAAGGTCCTGGTCTTGAAACTGAGTCAGCTTGTCAGAGCCAATTAAAAATAAGCGATAGTCAGGTGTCAGATATTGAGTCAAGGAGTCAGTCGGTAAGTTCAAACCAAGGGAGCGGGGGAAATGTCCTTGATGGTCAGAATGAGTCACTTATGCATACAGGATATCAGGGTATGTCAAAAATTAAACCATTATCAGTCAAAAGTTCCTTAAATAGTTTAAATTTGTCAAGGAATGAGTCGAATTCTATTTTAAGTCATATAGAAATCCAGACTACATTAAAAAAATTTGAGAAGTCTTATCCAAATGTTTTTAATAATGATAGAAACAGTCATATTATAGGTTTTGAAGCTAATTTGGTAGTTAAAGGAAATTCAAACAAGATTTTTGATAAGGCTTATTCTGTGCCCTATTCTTTACGAGAAAAAGTAAAACAGGAACTAGAAAGTTTAGTGTCAGAGGATTATTTTAATTCATGTTAGTCATGCTGATATAGCTAGTCCTATAGTTGTGGTGCCAAAGAAGAATTTGTGAGGATTTTAAGAAAACTGTTAATCCGATTTTAAAAATGGATCACTACCCCCTTCCAATTCTAGATGACTTGTTTTTCTCAGTATCGGGTGTATGTATGTTTAGCGTATTAGATCTCTCCAATGCTTATCTTCAGTTGTCCGTTAATAAGCAAAGTCAAGAGTTACTAACAATTAACACTCATATTGGATTATTCAAATACACTAGACTGCCCTATGGGATATCAAGTAGCCCAGCTATATTTCAGTCAACTATGGAACAAATTTTGAAGGTCTAGAGTTTGTGGGAGTTTATCTGGGCCGGTATTCTCGTTCTCGAAAACGCTCACCGCTTTTCAGTCACTCGGCACTTTCAATGTAAATTTGCATTTAAAGTGCCGAGCGACTAGAAAGCGGTGAGCGTTTTTGAGAACCAGAATACCGGCCCTGGATGATTGTGTAATTTCGTGAAAAAATAAATCACAATGCATTAAGAATGTAGATATAATCTTGCAACGTTTTGAAAAACACAACATCAAGTTGAACTTAGACAAAAGTAAATTCTTCCAGTCAGGAATGGAGTTTTTAGGTCATACCTTGAATAAACAAGGTATAAAACTTTTAAAATCAAAAGTAAAAGAATTCATTGATGCCCCTGTCCCTACTAATTTAACCCAACTCAAAAGTTTTCTTGGTCTGTTGATTTTTTATTCGAAACTTTTTCCGCACTGTTCTGTTCAGATACTCTAAGTCCACAAGAAAAAGTCAACCATTTAAATGGGGAAAGTCTCAACAGGCAGCATTTGAAAAGTGCAGAGATAATAAATCATTGTGTTACCTTGACACATTATTTTCCTGATAAAGAGCTGATAGTTGCTGCAGACGCTAGTCCCTTTGGTTTGGGAGCGATTTTGAGCTAAGTAGAAGATGGAGTTTGTAAACGTAAACCAATTCAGTTTTCATATTGTACGTTGTCTCCATCAGAAAGAAATTATGCTCAAGTGCAGAGAGAAACCTATGCAGTCGTATTTGCAGTTCGCAAATTTCACAAGTTTTTGTATGGAAGGAAATTTATATTTTCATATATATATTTTTCAGCCATTGAAAAACATTTCTGGAGAAAAACATGGGTTGCCTACATTAGCTCATGCTAGGATACAAAGATGGGCTGTTACGTTATCTGCATATGTCAAAGGTCATCGTCAGGGTAATGGAAGTAAACAAACCATAACCAATCCACATATTATAAATAAACACAATGTAAATGTGGGAATATTACAAGCACAAATGGCAAATAAAATGCAGCAAATCATTGAAATGGGACAGCAGCCCGAGCTAGATATGGGCCCCGCTGGAAATAATGATAATAATGATAACAATGACGGCTGGAAAACTATTCAACGTCGTAGAAACCGCAAATTTATGGTACTTAGCAAGGATGACATCGAAGGTATACAGACCATTCCTCGTTCCGTGTCTCTTCACGTACTGATCCTGCCCAGTTTAAAAATTTCTTAAAAAATGTCTTCAGAGATGTGTAATGTCAGAAACATGTTTCTAAACATCCCGATCTCTACTCATCAATGAGAGTTACTATAAATAGAGAAGATATGTAAAAAGCATTGAAGCGGGATCTCTGGCCAAATGGTGCTATTGTATCTAAGTTTTTTGTGAGCAAAAGGATGCTACCAAATCAGGTGGATCCTCCTAAACAATAACCTCCCCTAAACCTGCAAAGTGTCATAGACAATTGTATCTTTTACCAAAATGTGAGAGGTTCAAGAACTAAAACAAATGATTTCTACTCTGCTGTCCTGGCTGAGGACTATGATATAAATTTATTA